GCCATGGTGGAGCATTTGGAATCTGATTGATTGATTGCTTCTATGGACAGGTGTCTTTTATACAGGTAACAAACTGAGATTAGGAGCACTCCCTTTAAGAGTGTGCTCCTAATCTCAGCTCGTTACCTGTATAAAAGACACCTGGGAGCCAGAAATCTTTCTGATTGAGAGGAGGTCAAATACTTATTTCCCTCATTAAAATGCAAATCTATTCATAACATTTTTTACATGCGTTTTTCTGGATTTTTTTGTTGATGTTCTGTCTCTCACTGTTCAAATAAACCTACCATTAAAATTATAGACTGATCATGTCTTTGTCAGTGGGCAAACGTACAAAATCAGCAGGGGATGAAATACTTTTTTTCCCTCACTGTACCAACCTCACCATCTCGAGACTATGGACAAGATATTTAAAATGTAAAAAGAAAATATTTATGCATCTGTTTTGTACTATGTGCTAGTACTTACTGAATGATCCATCGATACCTCTGCTTGATACAGTCGCAAGGAATATCTGTCTGGTCCAGTAATTTTTAATTGGCTGATTTTGATTGGGTACTAATGTTGTGTAAAATTGTATCCAAAGATTAAGGCAGAGACTATTTCATCTTTAATCAAGCACCTGCAGGGGAGATCTACCTCTGATTTCACAGGGAAGAAGAGGTATACGCGAGTTTTAAGTGTGCGTCACTATGTATCAGAGAGAGCATGTCTATTAAATCGTATTGTGTCTGCAAACGTGTAAAGTACCAAACTAAGAACTACCAACTTTGGATGCGTAACAGTTTCAATGTGTATGTGTGAGAGAGAGGTATGACAATGCGAAAAATAATACATAATTTACAGATTATTGGCTGAATTCATCAATCATCAAAACAGGGGGTAGACAGCAAAATTACACATTTCCTGTATTCTGGGACTATTGATATGCACTTGGCCATCTCCTGGTTACTGGAGGAATGCAGCTGTCTCTGGGTCTGTCCCTGCACCTTTGTCTGCAGATGATGATGATACCCCTGAACATTCAATTGATGCACCTGAGCTTGCTGATGCGATGGCACTGGACTCTGACGCTGATTAATAATCTGGGTCAGCACAGAGATGAGGCTGTGTGCCGAAAACACCTCTGAATACTCTCGCTGCTGAACAAAACATGAACATAAGTTGGATATAGGGACAAGGGAAAAGTATTAACCGACTTGACCAAATTTGAATGTCTATATCTTAAATAGCCAGCTAGTCCAGAACATTTTACTAAGGGTAATTCAGGTACAATCAGATATGTATGACTAGTTTGAACGTATGCTTTCCGTAAACCAAGGAGCTGTCCATAAATGGCGAAATGTGATTTAAATCTCATGATGTAAGGGTTGCCGACTAAACTATGTAGTTAAGTAACATACTTCAAAATTGTCACGGGTCAACATACACTGAACAAAAATATAAACGCAATATGTAAAGTAATGGTCCCATGTTTCATGAGCTGAAATAAAAGATCCCAGAAATGTTCCATATGCACAAAAAGCCTATTTCTCTCAAATGTGTTTACATCCCTGTTAGTGAGCATTTCTCCTTTGCCAAGATAATCCATCCACTTGACAGGTGCGGCATATCAAGAAGCTGATTAAACATCATTGCACAGGTGCACCTTGTGCTGGGGACAATAAAAGTCCTCTCTAAAATGTGCAGTTGTCACACAACAATGCCACAGATGTCTCATGTTTTGAGGAAGTGTGCAATTGGCATGCTGATTACAGGAATGTCCACCAGACCTGTTGCCAGATAATTTACTGGTCATTTCACTACCATAAGCCACCTCCAACCTCATTTTAGAGAATTTGTTAGTACATCCAACCGGCCTCACAACCGCAGACCACTGTATGGCGTTGTGTGGATGAGTAGTTTGCTGATGTCAATGTTGTGAACAGAGTACCCCATGGTGGCAGTGGGGTTATGGTATTGGCAGGCATAAACTACGGACAACGAACACGATTGTATTTTAACGATGGCAATTTGAATGCACAAAAATACCGTGAAGAGATCCTGAGGCCCATTTTTTTTAAAGATATCTGTATTCCCAGTCATGTGAAATCCATAGATTAGCGCCTAATGAATTCATTTCAATTGACTGATTTCCTCATATGAACTGTAACTCGGTAAAATCAATGAAATTGTTCCGTTGCATTTATATTTTTGTTCAGTACACTAAGCGTATCTTTATACAATACATCAGGCAAGATTGGGTCTAGGCTTCAGGTATTATTATGGGAATAGCTATTCGTGGTTGTCGCTGTTTTATCTCACTCTCACGCTCGCTCGCTCACTAACTCTGGGCAAACATACGGGCAAACGTTTCACTATGGCTGGCAGTGGCTAGCTGTAACGTTACAGGCATGCAGTCTTGCAATTCATTCCATTTCCATTTGGCTAGTCTGATACCAAAGCCAGCCAACTAAGCTAACGTACTTCAAAATTGTCAGTCAGGGGTCAATGATGTACAGATATTAGAAGCGTGTCTAATATATTTAATGACAAACCATGTAACTACTTCGGTAAACATTTATTACCTGTTGCCCAAAGTTCGGCGCAGGTGTTAGTAACTGATTCGCCATGTTCAGAACATTCGGCCACAGGGGGAAAGATTTGGCGTTTAGTTGTGACGTCAGACCATTTGGTTAAGTAGCCAATAAAAAATAAAAAGCCTGTATATCATGTTCATTGAACCGTCACTCCAAAACTAGTGGACCAAGGCACATTGTCTACGCCTCCCTCTAAACACCGCCCTTCACGTGGGAAAAAAAATGTCAAATCTAGCAATCGAAAAAAAATGCCAAGATATGAGTAGCATAACCAAAATGTAGTAAATGCAGGCAAGAGCGTAGGCAAAATGGATTCAATAGGATTGGTTGTTGGAACATTTAACTGAAAAAAGATTTTTGCATTCGTTTTTTAATACGTTTTTCAAATGTTTGTCATAGAATTTCGATCTCGCTTTTGTTGGTGTTTTGCTTTGATATCTTTTTTTACAATTGTATACATTTAGCTTTTAATTGTTAAGGTTTTTGATTTCAACATCCATTATTTGACCTTTCCTCAAATATCATGTTTACATTATCAACTTAATTTTTCATGTTTACGATTTCTTATTTTAAATGTAATACATATGGCGTGAAATTGGTTCCATAAGGTCTAATTGATTTAGTTTCTCCCAGTATCTGGCCCACACTCCAGTACAGTAGGTGGCGGTAATGCACCATAACGTTGTCAACCGACGATACACCCCACCGAAGAACCTGGTAGTTTAGATTACTGAACAGATGACACGCTGACTAAATGTTCAAACAAAACAAAATTTTATTTCAGGAGAATCAGAACAATTCCATTGAGTGTTCCTCAGTCTTGCTTTACAGAATAAAATGAGAAACATTTGTCGAATCTTGGACATGCACATTGCAACACATTTCCTTACTCCCCCCCCATTTTCAATCTTATCAATAACCAGGTTTCCATCCAACCTTTTATTGCGAGTAAAGTGATTAGAAATCAATGGCCACTTTAATAATGTTTACATATCTTGCATTACTCATCTCATATGTATATTCTGTATTCTATACTATATCTTAGTCTATGCTGCTCTGACTTTACTCGTCCATATATTTATTTGTATATTCTTAATTCCATTGCTTTACTTAGATTTGTGTGTATTGGGTATATGTTGTGAAATTGTTAGATATTACTTGTTAGATATACTGCACTGTCAGAGCTAGAAACACAAGCACTTCGCTAAACACGTGTATGTGACCAATAAAATTTGAAGTACGTCAGATAAAAAGTCCTTACAGGCCTGACGGAAACAGAACAATTTTGGGTAAATTATCCAAACGTCAATAAAACACACTAGACAAGGTGGAATCTTCTTGTGTCGGTAAAACGAATTATGCGAGAAATGTCAGTGGAAACGCTTTTATGCGCAAATATTGATACAATAACCATCATATCGAAGTAAACTTGGAGTCACGCGATGACGTGTGGTCCTCCCACACGCTGTTCATTAAACTACAGATGAAATAAATTATATAGACTTCACAGGGTGGTGAAAGTGTAAGATAATTAGCTTGATGCTACTTTCCAATAAATATCTAGGGTCTTATTCTGGTGACAATTTATGCTTGGCTGCGGTTTGAAAAAATTAAATAAAAACAACTTCTCGCACTTTTGTCCATATAATCTTAGCATGTAGGCTATATGTGCACACATGCCAATACCAAAGTGAGCACACTCGCTATATACAGCAAAGTCTAATTTAGTGACAAACCATCAGTAGAGTTGAAAATGTGATGAAACACATTTAACTTGCTTTTTGTTTTGGGTACATAGTAATCTAACCGCAAAATGCATTTTTATTTGCACTGCATCATCACGCACAGCTTTTTGTTTTGGGTACATGGGAATTTAACCACAAAATGCATTTTTATTTGCACTGCATCATCATGCACAGCCTTTTATTTGCAACAAGTAAATTGGATGGAAACATCTCTGGTGGGAAATTGCACATAATGTTTTTATGCAGATTTAAGAATATTTGCATGAAAATCTGTCGCCAATTGGATGGAAACCTAGCTAACGGTGTACATTTTCTTGAGGGTAGAAGTATAGGTCCAGACAGTTGACGTTCTCAGGATTGTACCCCCCCCCCCCCCCCCCCCCGCGAATGTCAAGGGTCAGTGAGCACAGTTATCAGTTTGATAACGAGGGACGGTTTGAAATAATTATTTTGTGGCGTGGACCTAGTCCTGGGGGTACAGAAGAAACAAAATCCTACTTAACCCATAAAACTGACAGTTTGTTTCTTATGCCTACACTGTCCTGTTGTGGTTTCTAACAGGTCAGCAGCTCATTACAGTATCATTCACACAAACAGGTAAGGGGTTTGGGGTGGGGGGTGTGGGTTTGTGTTGTATAAAAAAAACAGGAAATGAGTAAAGATGGCAAAACCCCTCTTAGTACTCGTCTGCCTGGGTCTCCATCTTGTAGCCGTTCTCGTTGGAAACATAGCCCTCCCCCGACTGCACCGACTCCTGGTCCATCAACCCATCCTGGCTGTTCTCCTCTGGCTTGGGTGGCGCGTCGCCCTCCTCCCCGTTACCCACGTCGTCCTGCTTGGCCGAGGGGAGCAGGAGAGAGCCATGCCGGTCCTCCCTGCGCTCCCCGCCACCCCGCTCCCTGTCTCTCTTATGCTCCCTGTCTTTCTCCCTATCCCCCCTGTGCCTCTCCCGGTCCCTATCGCGGTCCTTGTCCCTGTGGCTGCGCCTCCGGTCACGGTCCCGCTCCCTCCCGCCGCGCTCCTCTCCCACCTCTCCCCCTTCCTCACCCACACTAGGCTCTTCAGGCATCCTCTCTCCTCCCTCCCCCATCATACCTTCTCCTAGCCCCATGCCCTCATCCCCCTCGCCACCCTTGCCTCTCTCCCGGTCTCGCTTGCGCTCTCGGCTGCGGCTCCTCTTCTTCCTTTCGCCCTTGTCTCTGCTCCTCTCCCTGCTACGACTGTCTCCCCCTGGCCCTCCTCCCCCCCGCTCCCTCTCTCGGTCTCTCCTCCTGCTACCCCCTACGCTCTCCTCTCCGGGCACTGCCAGGCCCAGACCCCTGTCACCCCTCTCCCTCTCTCTGGAGCGGGAGCTGCGCCTGCGTCTTTCCCGGGACCGGGACCTCCGTCTCTCGCCACCGCGCTCTTTCTCCCCCCCCCGTTCGCGTTCACGGCTGCGCTCTCTGCGCTCCCCTCTGGGCTCAGGTCCACGTTCGCGCTCTCGTTCCCTGAGGTGAAGAGAAGGGCAAAAATAAGTCAACTGACAAACCTCTACAGAAAATATCAAGTCAGTCAAACCACAAAATGTCCAATCCCAAATCTACCACTAGCCCATACCCTCTAGACTTGCATAGATCTAAAATAATTGGATATGGTAGTAAATCCATCTTGCTGTCAGATTATTTTCCCCATAAATTGCTACATCTATCCAATTATTTCAGGTCTAATGGGTAGGGCCTATTTGGAATAGGGTGACAACCCTCCCTTAGTAGACCACCCCAAGGGCCCAGTGTAGTTACTCACCCTCCAATTGGGGGGTGGTCATCGTAACGTGAGGCGTCATCTCTTCCAGAGTGCTTGATGTTGACGTCAGCCCCGCCTCTCCTCGTCCCACCAAGACCACCACCTGGTTGGAGACAGAAAACAGGGCTCATTGTGATGCATTCATTTCCTGTCTATGATTTATGTATTTAAACTGACAAATAAAATATTTTAAAGGATTCATAACCGGCAAATGCCAATTTGAAGAGAATCAGATGTTCCAAAACATTCAGTGAATTCAGTGTTAAGATTTTAAAAAGGCATGACTGTAGTATGGATAATTATGCAGTCACAGAGATAATGTTCAGTTCCTCACCTAGCCTGCGGGGCTGCCATCCCTTCACAGTGCGGCCTCTCTCCACATCCACCAGCACTCTCCTCCCGTCGATCTTCTTCCCGTCTGCATGCTTGTAGGCGGCTGGAGGGGGAGGGGGGGGGGGGGGGGGGGGTGATGAAAGAAAAAGGTAGAGAAGGATAAGTTGGAGCTCTGCCATTTCAAAAAGGTAAAGATAACAAAGAGTGCATGCATATACTGACCAGGAGCAGGTGAGGTAGTGTGGAGCTGCTCTCTGGGCAGACAGACCATGTAGTAGTAGACCCTTTTCCCACCACTAAATGCAGCATTTACCTGCACATCTTTCTTTTTTTTTTGAAGATGTACCACCGTTTAAGTATTTTGTTGTGAAACACTTTATTTCCGTAAATCAATTTTGAAACGCTAAAGAGGGATAGAATAAGAAATCCATTCTAGCTGCAAATTACAAGTGAGCCGGTATAGTAGATAAAAGTTGACCAAAAACTGTCTTCCAAAATGTTCAAACAATTCAAATTCAAACAAAACATTGAAGTCAGGCCTATATGATTGCTCTGTGTCATGTATGGTTTCTGTGGAGCACCAGAGACCGAAAATCATTTAAATCTTACTTAGGTCAAGTAGTGACCACATTAGTTGAAGAGGGTCAACCTCTTACTGTTGCATGGCTCATTTAACCTTGAAGCTAAAATGTTAGTGTTTATACCCAGGGTACCAAGCAGTTGACAGTACTTTGATGTGGAATGCGTTTGAGAGCCCATCACTTGAAATAAATCAGATGACAATAATTAAATATCCAAATTGATGAGAATTGCATTTGTGCATGTTCACAGTTGTCACATTTACAACCTCTTACCCAGAAGGAACAGTGAATAGGAGTCACCCCCATGGGCCAGACAGACACCCACTTCACTTACAAAAGCACGTCTAACCACTTATAGGTGGAATTGGGGATTTTCTACCAGTAGCTAGGATTCCATCCAATTGCCGTCAGATTTTAATGCAAATATTCAAAAATCTGCATAAAGAAAATGTGAAGTGTACTTTTCCCGCTTAAGTTGTCATGTATTGAATAAAAAAAAATTAAAACGCTTTTTCAACTACTGACGGTTGTCACAAATACTGTTGCATTTAATATCAAATGTGCCTACGCTGGTCTTGGCACATGCGCGCTAGCCAACAGCTCGGGTAGGCTAGTCTACACAAGAAAATGGATAAGAGAGAATATTTTGACAAACGGCAGTCAAGTATCGATCATCATGTCACCAATATAAGACCCTCGATATTTATTGGAAAGAAGAATAAAGCTCATCATCGTGCACTTTCACCACCCTGTGAATTTCATCTTCCATATATTTTATCTGTAGCCTAATAGTGGGAGAACCACACACCATATCGTCGCTTGACTCCAAGTTTACTTCGATAAGATGCTAATTATTTCAATATTTGCACATAAAGGCATTTTCACCGCCATTTCGCACATAATTAATTTTACAGACACAGAAACGCTGACGCTTTGAACACACCGACTGCGCCATTGCGTTTTGGTACACCAGAAGCACATTAATTTCCAATGGAACGCTGCATTTGCCTTGCAGCATTGCGTTGCAGATGCAGTTGCAGTGCGATCTGTGTGGTGCATACATTGGAATTATCAAACGTATGCGTCAAACTGTATGCGTAAACGAGTTGACAGAAATGGTAGCAGAAGGTGAATGTTTTCCTTTTGTTGCACACATATCTAGATTATGCTGCATACTATTTTGCGCAACGACAGTCGGTGTGTTCAAAGCGTAACACCTTAAGACACGTCCTGCGACAGCCGTCGTCACTGGCACAACCACACACCACTCCTGGTGTTCTTACCCCAACCCCTTCCCGGTTCAGTGAGAAATAAAATACCAGTGACACATTGGTTTGAGTTTCTGAATATTTACTCTGATTGCCAGAATACACAGCCTTGTATGGTAATGCTGCTTATTACACCAACATCTTCTTACCCAATACATGTTGTGCTTCAGACTCTAGTGAGGCTAGTGTACATTTGGTTGCCTTACATACAACCTCTGACCTGCTTGTAATACTTGTCTGGAGGGGGAGATATAGGGGAGGGGGGCATCGCGATATGAGCAAATGTGTCATGAGTTAAATGTGACCATGTGCACATACCTTAGTTGGGGCTTTATGGGCTGCTGTGTTTGTTTTTCACCAACTATCTTACCACCGCCTGGACACGAGCGCAGTGTCGAACTTAGAACCTTCCGGAGCATAGGGCTTCCAGTTGCCAGTCAACATGGCAGTCTCCTGCTTCTGCCAGATTTAACACCAGTCTGCAACTTCTGATTCAAACTCAGAACACACACAAATATATATACTCCCTTGGCCCAGACAGTCTTGGGATCAGTCTCTTATGACCGAAGAATTCGGCGAGATCCACGATGACCCATCCTGGCCTCTACACTGGTGGAAGACGATCCAATGGGAAACGGCACAGAGGTCTCTTTTCCTCTTTATATCCAATCAGAGGGCCTTACCAGAACCACTCGCTTAACCATTCAAAAGGCCTTACCAGAACCCCTCGCTTTTATAGCCAATCAGAGGGCCTTACCAGAACCCCCTCTAAAGCACAGCAAATTATCACTGTACTTTCATGACACCTCACAGGTGTATACTACCAAGGGGCCTTACCACAACCCCTCACTAACCTAACCAATCCGGGTTTGTCTTACCACAAACCATAACCTTCAACCAATCAGAGATGACTTCACTCAAAAAGGGGGGTTGCCTTACCTCAACCCCCAAAACGACTTGAATAAAAGGCCTAAATACAATCTTACTATACAAGCACACATATGGTGCATATCAAAAGGTTCTTTTAAGAAACAGAAAGGTATGCATCTAGAGAAAATGAGAAGTGTTTGGTGTAGGCTAGAATAAAATGTAGGCTAGTTCCAGTGGTGACATGTTTCCTCCCTAGACTGGTTCTATTAGCTGTATACACCTGATCCTTAATATCAGCTGTGGTAAAGAAGATCTGGGGGTGAGATGACTGCCATGTCTGAATGAACTATTGCTATGCTCTTGTTGGCATCTGCTCTTGCCTAGTTATATAGTAGGGGCAAAGCTACATGTGCATAATTATGTGCCTTGCTGTAAAAGTGGTTAGAGTCCCGTGGTAAGCCTATTCCATTAAAGCCAGCTCGACGCACACAAGAAAGGACCTTAACTTACAATGCTAGGGGATTTTGTCTTGGGCATGTGATCTTTTTGACGCAACGTTATGCAAAAGATTGTCCTTTTCTTAATGATTATGCAAGAGACAACTTGCTAAAATGCTGTTGTTTCAGACAACTAAAATAATCCAAATAGTAAAAGCTCTTAGGCCGATATGTAAAAGTGCTAAAAGGGATACATCGGAGGTGGCTTTAACACAAAAGGAAAACTCACAGGGCACCCATTAACTGACTAATGGCCTGGGGGTGCGTTCAATGGTCAAAGCACCAGCTCTGTCTTACCAATGTCAATATTGTTCAGGCAACATTTAAGCAGCTTCAAAAATGTGCTTTGCCCATTGAACGTAGCTCCTCTTCCCTAAATAGGAGGGTGGAGGGTGGAAAGAAAGCTTACCCATCATACAAACCCATCATACCAACCATATACTGAGCTGTGGTAGTAGGGTGTAGATGTATCATAACCATCATCATCTGCAAGCCAGCTCTGGCCAATAGCCATCACAGATAGGCGGCTGCAGTGGCAATGAGAACAACAAAACAGTTAATACACTACAGAGCCAGCATAGACATCCCCTCACAAGTCAACCCTCACCTGAGTCACATCATACCAAGGGTGGGCGACCCTGGTCCTGGGGAACACTATTCCCTGCCTGTTCATTGCACCCTGGATGCATGACCCCAAGTGTTCCAGCAATGAAATCAGTGGCCACGTTCCAGGCAAGCTACATTGCAGTCGCGCTGTGCAGATACCTGCCTCGTCACCAACTAGCAGTCAAGCATCAGATTCTTATTTTATATGATTTGGTTTTCTGATATGTAAAACACCTTCCCAGGTGTTGCGAGATCTGGCAAGTGACTACAATGTAGTCGGCCTGGAAGGTGGCCAGTAAGCAGCAATCTTAGTGAGCAACCGATTTACACCTGGAACACCCGTCTGCATGATCATTGAAATAAATTAAATCAATGAGAAAAATACCAGCGGGCATGGTAGCTCGCCAGGACCAGGGTTGAGGACCACTGATATGAGCTGATAGAAATGGCCTAGTGTCACACAAAAGCACAGAGATGAGGGTACCCAAGTTAACCAGACAAGTTAGGGGGCACTAGCCTGTTGGTGACTGTAGCTTACAGTTGGTGGTCCAACCAGGAAACCCACCTGTTCCACAGATGACTTAGCACTCCTAACTATTACAGGCCTAACCTACAGCAAGCAAAGGCATTCAAGGTGACCAGAAGAACAAGGCTTAGTTGTTTGTGCATACAAAACATAGGCCAAACCTTCCCACCCCTCCCACCGCCACATAGGAGAAGTGCCATGGCTGGACTAACTGCACTCACTCAGACAAGTGCAGTACAGAAACCCTTTCACAGCCGTATTTGAGTTAGTCAAGAGATCATCATGCACCACAAACACGACAAACATCACACAACCCTCACGCAGCACCTTGTTTCCCCTAATTAATAACATTTCGCCATTCTAAACTCAAAGTTTTGAAAATAAAAAGGATGGATGGATTTTGGAGACCCTTGTGTTCAGACTTGTATCTTTAACTTGTGTGGACTGTGGGTTCATATTTTTAAACCCCTTGCCAGTAGGCTTGGGTGGTATACGTATACCAGGGTTTTTGGAAAAAGCCACAGGATGGTTTGTCAATACCGTCAATACCGTTTGAAACTATTTATTTGAAGTTGTATTAATCGATTTGAATATTTGTAGCTACGTAAGTAGATACCTGCAGTCAACTTGTGCAATATTTTAGGAGATAAAGAACATTGCGTTCATTTCACCAGTCACATTATTATGAAGCTTATGGTAGTCCCCAGTCACGTGGTGTTTGTTTACAAGCAAACTACGAGACCGGAGCCTTGTGAGTCACTCACTGTTGTGCTACATGCGACAGGTGATCTAATTACTGTATGGTAAGTCTAAATGTTAAGTCTAAAATGTGCTAACTGTTCTGCAGTTTTGCGTTGGGTTTGCTAATTTAGTAGCTAGTTAGCTATCTAGCTAAGTGGTTAGTTTCTTCCAAAATCAAGCATTCACTTGGTAAAAGCAGAGAATCCCCTCCTGGATCAAGAGCCTTGCTGGCTAATATTGGTTTTGTGCATGCAGCAAACTGTGTAGCATTTGAGTTACTTTTATAGTTTAGGTCAGAAACTGTACAAAATGTTCGCAATGTGGTCATTAGCATTTTCTATGGCATTTTACATGTACTTGTTAGCATTGCTAACCTTCAGATTACAGAGTATGAGTGGGGTTTGAAAACAGCGCCCCTTGTGTTCAGTACCGGTTATTACCGAATATCCCTGTATGGCACAAGGTTGGTATGAAGGTATGACAATCTGGATACCGCCCAAGCCTACTTGCTAGCTAGTTCTCCTTCTCTCACCATTGTGCCAATCCAAACCATACTCTGCTGGCTTGGATACTTTCTCTTCACCATGTCCTCGCAGCGTAATCAGGCCAGCGCAGTACAGCACGGTGTGGCTCAGCAGTGTGAAAATTGTATTTTTATTTTTGGCAGATATTAAGAGTTGGCCTAGGACTATGGATAAATGTGACACCATCGTCCATCATGGCCCTTCAATGGGAAAATCACACCAAGGACAGCATAAGCTGCTAGTGCAGTACAGAAAATAACCACATTTTAAAAACAGAGCCTAGTCAGTTTGCTCCTTAAAAAAAGGTGCTACTCAGTCAAGAGGGTTCCTCCTACACTAGGCAAGAGTATAAGGTGCTGATGTTAATTAATAGTCAGCAACACCAACTGCTACAACTTGTAAAGCTATAGTGAAATTACAACAATTTTTGTAAGCTCCCAAAATTGATCTGGTGCATTTCTTTCGGTACCTTCTTGTTCATGTCTCGCTTACACGAATCCTTCAACAAATACTATCCCACCTACGTACCCTCCCAGCATGCAGACTCCCATTTGAGATAAGGTGGGTTATGAGGGGGTTGGTCTCTCGTGGTACTCACAGTGCATGTCTCTCTCGTGCTCGTACTCTATGAAGGCGTATCCTCTGGGCTTCCCTGACCGCTTGTTGTAGACGATGTAAATCTGGAAGAGAGAGCGACTATAATAACGCTAGCTGCACAAGCTGGGGGGGGGGGAGCAGAGGACCAACTGCCAAAAATGGACAATAAGGACCCAAAAGATGGTTTAGGAGACCAAGACAACGTACCCTTTTGATGGGGCCGTAGACCTCAAACTCACGGCGAAGCTTGGATTCTGTTGTGTCATAATTCTGCAGCAATGATATCACAGTTAACATCTATCCATCAGAACTTGGCAGGAAAACTCTTTACAAATAAAATGTTATTTGTCACATGTACGAAATACAACAGGTGTACACTTCACTGGCAGTTTGGTCTTAGAATTGTCTTCAGAAAACACTTCTGGGCTACATACCATCCGATAGAAAATATAAGACATGCTTCAAGAAGTGGATGCTTGGTTTTCATTTTATTGTGGTGTACGTGTGCTTCATTTGTTATTATTCACTACCCGGTTTTAGTCTGTGGCCAAGACAGGATGGAAGAGAAGGTAAAGATGCCATGGGACATGGAAGGTAGCCTGTATAATACACACTTACCACGCGAGCCACAAACAGGGTCTTGAAGGCATCCCCCTGAGCATTGGGGTCATTGTGTGGATCCCCTGGAAGAAGGCAGAACCAAATATAACAACCTGACCAACTTTCAGTAAATCCTATGAAATGTCACAAAAGCTCATCCATGTCAACTTACAGAGCTTCAGTTCTGTCTCCACAACCGTCTGCCGCCTCTCGATCTTCTCCCTCCTCTGTAAAACAGAAACGAGTTAGCTAGGCCCCTCACTCAATCCACAAATGGTTACTGTACATGTAAATTAAAGCCATGTACTAGTACACCATACTGAAGATTTCCACTTATCCAATCTTATTCAGATATGCACTGAAGGTTTCAGAGACTAAAAGTGAAAAGAAATGGCCACAAGGGGGAATGACCCCTCTTCCAATTGTCTCACCTTTCTCTCCAACCTCTCATCACGAGTTTCTGCCCTAGTAGGGGGAGGGGCATCTCTGGGGTCCTATCAAAACAGTCCAAAAGTTAGGCTAATAAAAAGGTAGAGGGCCAAAGGCATTCAATCAAATAATATACCAAATAGCCAAATATCCATCTCATTCATGAAGAGTAATTGTACAAGGGCTAGGTAGGTTTGCCTTACCTCAAAGTGCCTGATGAAGGGAGCAATGCCACAGTATGGCTGGTTGTGGTGTTTCTCATGGGGCAGCTTCTCCAACTGCGTCAGAAATGGTATGGGGTCCCGCGGCGCAAATAGGGCCAGCAGGTTGGGGGGTAAAAACTGGGTCATCTTTCACCTGTAGCGAGAAAGAGATTTAGTTTACAAACTACATAGTTACTGATAATATGCAGACAGAGTTGCATCAGTGTTGCCATTAGGCAGTGTGGACAGAGCCACAAAGGCTTGGAAGAACATCGTGATAACCATGTGCAGCTCAATTTCTGCTGCAAAGCTACCTAAATTACTTCCACGTAGCTAGCAAGGTAAGGTAACATCTTATTTTCATGTGTGGAACAAGCTTTGAAGCTAGTGTGTAAGAGAATTGATCAATGTTGCCAAACAATGCTCAATCTTCCCTTACCTGGAGGCTTCAAGTTAAATGAAGGCTGGAAAGTCACAAGTTAACTCGTCAACATTTACAAGGATAGCTAGCTAGCTGGAATAGTGAATGTTTTAGGTTGATTACTGGTTATATACACATACCACACAAAGAAATATAAAAACGCAACAATTTCAAAGCCTTCATTGAGTTACAGTTCATAAGCAAATCAGTCAATTGAAATAAATGCATTAAGCCCTAATCTATGGATTTCACGACCAGGAATACAGATGCATCTGTTGGTCAGAGATACAAAAAAATAAAATTGAGGCGTGGATCAGAAAACCAGTCAGTATCTGGTGTGACCGCCATTTGCCTCATGCAGCACGACATTTCCTTTGCATGGAGTTGATCAGGCTGTTGATTGTGGCCTGTGGAATGTTGTCCCACTCTTCAATGGCTGTGCGAAGTTGCTGGATATCAGCGGGAACTGGAACACTCCACCGTACACATCGATCCAGCGCATCCCAACATGCTCAATGGGTGGCATGCCTGGTGAGTATGCAGGCCATGGAAGAACTGGGACATTTTCAGCTTCCAGGAACTGAGTACAGATCCTTGCAACATGGGGCAGTGCATTACGCCGAAAAATGAGGAGATGGCGGCAAATGAATGGCACAACAATGGGCCTCAGGATCTCGTCACGGAATCGCTGTGCATTCAAATTGCCATCGATGAAATGCAATTGTGTCAGTTCTCCGTAGCTAAATGCCTGCCGATACCATAAACCCACCACCACTGTGCACTCGGTTCACAGCGTTGACGTCAGAAAACTGCTCCCCCACACACGCTGTCTGCCATCTGCCCGGTACAGTTGAAACTGGGATTAATCTGTGATGGGCACACTTCTCCAGCATTACGACGCCGAACTGCAGTCAGGTCAAGACCCTGGTGAGGAAATTATTCGGTTGTGCAAACCCACAGTTTCTTCAGCTGTCCGGGTGGCTGGTCTCGGACAATCCAGCAAGTGAAGAAGTTAGATGTGGAGAACCTGGGCTGGCATGGTTACACGCGGTCTGCGGTTGTGAGACCAGTTGGACGTATTGCCAAATTCTCTTAAAACGATGGAGGCAGCTTATGGTAGAGAAATTAACATTCAATCTCTGGCAACCGCTCTGTTAAGACATTCCTGCAGTCAACATGCCAATTGCAAGCTCAAAACTTGGAGACATGTGGCATTATGTTGTGTAAAAAAAACTGCACATTTTGTCCCTAGCACAAGGTGCAACTGTGTTATGATCATCCTGTTTAATCAGCTTCTTGATATGCCAGACCTGTCAGGTGGAGGATTATCTTGCCAAAAGAGAAATTATTACTAGCAGGGACGTAAACAAATGTGCACAAATTAGAAAATAGCTTTTTGTGCATATGGAACATTTCTGGGATCTTTTATTTCAGCTCATGAAACATGGGACCAACACTTTACATGTTGCGTATATTTGTTCAGTATAGTTAGCAGCCAACTAAATGCAACTCCACAATTTACTATCGAGTTGAGCTGTGACTAGTGTGGGTGGACTGAAGCTCCAACATCACATAAAATGAAGTTATCAAAAACCACAAATTTCAGCACCCAAAGAATAGCCCACAATTACGGTCTGAGGAAGCGGACCAGGTGTGATGACAAGAAAGCGTAAGAATGCTGCCAAGATCACCTTCGAGTACACACACGGTGCCGTCGGAAAGTATTCAGACCCCCTGACATTCTCCACATTTGTTATATTACAGCCTTAATCTAAAATTGATTAAATTGTTTGTAGTTTTTTTTTTTTTTTTTTTACACACAATACCCCAGAATGACAGGTTTCTAGATTTTGTGTGTGCACATTTAGAAATAGAAACCCCCCGGAAATATCACAAGTATTCAAACTCTTTACTCAGTACTTTGTTGAAGCACCTTTGGCAGCGATTACAGCTTCTAGTCTTACTGGGTATGACGCTACAAGTGTGGCACACCTGTTTTTGGGGAGTTTCTCCCATTCTTCTCTGCAGATCCAGGTCTTTCCAGAGATGTTCGATCGGGATTTGCCCCAGTCTGGCTCTGGAGCAGGTTTTCATCAAGGATCTCCCTGTATTTGCTCCGTTCATCTTTCCCTCGATCCTGACTAGTCTCCCAGTCCCTGCCACTGAAAAACATCCCCACAGCATGATGCTGCCACCACCATGCTTCACTGGGGATGGTGCCAGGTTTCCTCCAGACGTGATTAATGGCATTCAAGCCAAAGAGTTCAATCAGACCAGATAATCTTGTTTCTCGTGGTCTGAGAATCTTTATGTGCCTTTTGGCAAACTCCAAGTGGGCTGTCATGTGCCTTTTACTGAGGAGTTGCTTCCTAAAGGCCTGATTGGTGGAGTGATGCAGAGATGGTTGTCCTTCTGGAAGGTTATCCCATCTCCACAGAGGAACTCTGTCAGAGTGACCATCAGGTTCTTAGTCACCTCCCTGACCAAGGCCCTTCTCCCCTGATCGCTCAGTTTGGCTGGCGGACAGCTCTAGGAAGAGTATTGGCCACTGTGTTCTTTTGGACCTTCAATGCTGCAGACATTTTTGGTACCCTTCCCCAGACCTGTGTCTGAACACAATCCTGTCTCGGAGCTCTACGGACAACTTCTTTGACCTCATGGCTTGGTATTTGCTCTAACTTGCACTGTCAACTGTGGGACCTTATATAGATAGGTGTGTGCCTTTCCAAATCATGTCCAATCAATAGAATGTACCACAGGTGGACTCCAATGAAGTTGTAGAAACATCAAGGATGATCAATGGAAACAGGATGCACCTGAGCTCAATTTTGAGTCTCATAGCAAAGGGTCTGAATACTTAAGTAAGGTATACGTTTTTAAATTCTAAATTAGCACCCTGTTTTCGCTTTGTCGTTATGGGGTATTGTGTGTAGATTGCTGAGAAATAAATAATATTTTAGAATAACGCTGTAACGTAACAAAATGTGGAAAAGGAGGCCTTTCTACGGACTCTGAAAAACACCAAAAGAAAGATGCCCAGGGTCCCTGCTCATCTGCGTGAACGTGCCTTAGGCATGCTGCAAGGAGGCATGCAGTTGTGGCCAGGGCAATAAATTGCAATGTCCGTACTGTGAGACGCCTAAGACAGCGATACAGGGAGACAGGACGGACAGCTGATCGTCCTCGCAGTGGCAAACCACGTGTAACACCTGCACAGGATCGGTACATCACACCTGCGGGACAGGTACAGGATGGCAACAACAACTGCCCGAGTTACACCAGGAACGCACAATCCCTCCATCAGTGCTCAGACTGTGCTCAATAGGCTGAGAGAGGCTGGACTGAGGGCTTGTAGGCCTGTTGTAAGGCAGGTCCTCACCAGACATCACCGGCAACAACGTCGCCTATGGGCACAAATCCACCGTTGCTGGACCAAACAGTACTGGCAAAAAGTGCTCTTCACTGACGAGTCGCGGTTTTGTCTCACCAGGGGTGATGGTCGGATTTGCATTTATCGTCGAAGGAATGAGCGTTACACCGAGGCCTGTACTCTGGAACGGGATTGATTTGGAGGTGGTCTGTGGCAGTGTGTCACAGCATCATCGGACAGATCTTGTTTTCATTGCAGCCAATCTCAACGCTGTGCGTTACAGGGAAGACATCCTCCTCCCTCACATGGTACCCTTCCTGCAGGCTCATCCTGACATGACCCTCCAGCATAACAATGCCACCAGCCATACTAATCATTCTGGGCGTGATTTCCTGCAAGACAGGAATGTCTGTTCTGCCATGGCCAGCAAAGAGCCTGGATCTCAATCCCATTGTCCAGGAACTTGCAGGTGCCTTGGTGGAAGAGTGGGGTAAAATCTCACAGCATGAACTGGCAAATCTGGTGCAGTCCATGAGGAGGAGATGAACTGCAGTACTTAATGCAGCTGGTGGCCACACCAGATACTGACTTACTTTTGATTTTGACCCCCCCCCCCCTCCTTTGTTAAGGAACACATTATTCAATTTTTGTTAGTCACATGTCTGTGGAACTTGTTCAGTTTATGTCTTAGTTGTTGAATCTTGTTATGTTCATACAAATATTTACACGTTAAGTTTGCTGAAAATAAACGCAGTTGACAGTGAGAGAACGTTTCTTTTTTTGCTGAATTTAGTTAGCGACGCCGTGTGAAAGCGTGCTAGTTAGCTAGCACACAGTGTCGCCCCCGCGTACCGGAGACAACCGTGCCCGACAGGCGAGGGCGATGACTCTCCCCGCCACCCACTAGCACAAGCCCCCACCTCCCGTGTACCAAAGTCCTCCTTAGGGTTAAGCTAGTACACAGTGTCCTTTACTCCCGCCTGCCGAACACCTACCCTCGCCGTTAAATGAACGGCAGGAAAACATGTTTCAAGCAGACCTCTTTACCAGTGTACGGCTAGCTAGCTACTGTGGTCACCACCGCCCCTTCTGTGAGTTTTATCTGCTGTTGGCATCCAACGTTATTGTTCATTAATTACACCTACTGTACTGGAGCGCCCCCACCTCCCGCAACTTGAAAATTGACCAATAAAAGTATAGGTGTTCCTGCAGATGTAGGAATGCCCATTTGCAGGAACGCCCAGAATTGCGGGCCGCAATTGCACTGTTGAAGAAAAAACAAGTCACAAAATGTCATAATATACGCACGAACTGTTCCGAACTGTTTCAGATGAGAATCATGACGACGCCTTTAGAACTAGTTGTCTGGCTTCCGACTAGACATCACTGTGGTGGGCTAACTGAGGCTAACGTTAGCTAACAACGCAGTCAAACAATGGACCCACCTGGCTAACGTTAGTTAGTCAATCCACCAAAGCTTTACGCTAATTAATTGCAGTATGACGAGATATCTAAAACGAAATATGGTGCAAATATGGTACAGTTTAACAGGTAGATTTTAGTTAACGTTACATATTCCAGTTTAGTTATCTAGCAAACCGCTAACCACTATCCAGCGTAGGCCTCGTGCCTCAACTCAGACTCAGGGGCACTACACATTTCTGTCCCACTCACCTCAACTCTTCATTCAATCCCTTTAAAACTCCGAGAGCCCAAATCAGGCAACGTGGAATAAGAGCGTGCACTCTCCTTGTTCAAAGCAAGTTGTTTTCCCACAGATGAATATACTTCAGCCAAAGTGAAAGATAAAGTGGCTTCAGCTTGGTTAGCTTCTCGCCAGGAGAAAAAAAGATTTTGTCCTCAACTTAAAATGGCGGGACGCTGTAAATGGACGACACTGTCGCGACAGTTCCTCTAATGTTTCACGACACGTCAGGCTAATTTACTTGAGACCTTGGTTTCCACAGAGAGGAAGGAGGAGGCCCAACTCGGAGGAAAATCTGTCTCTTTCCAGCAGGTGGCGTTTTTTCGTTGTTTCGCCAATCAAACAAGGAGTTTTTGTATGGAGGTCAATGTTACGAGTGTACTGATATAAGTAGGACACCTAACATCCCGGAAACTTTGAGAAAAAACACTATATCTGAGTTGTCTCGAGATGGCTATGCATATTCATAAGTGAGGCTAGTAGCATAGCGTCTCTCTCCATTAAATACAGGTGGTTGACGTCAACAACCCTCATCAAATATTCAAAAACGATTACAATAATGAGTTGTATCCACCAATCCAAAGGTAGGTAGGCTGGAGCTAGACAGCCCGCCATGCCGCTTTGTGGACAACGACGCCCATTATTAGGGCAGAGAGACATGTATCTTGTCAGTATATCCATACTCTTTAGTTGGCACAAAGGGGCCAGGGTTCTGGTCTAGAAGCAGGGTTTCGACTGCTCCTACAGTTTTGTTTTCGTACTGCAGTTTAACTGACGCCCGGTCCAGAAAGACAATTTCCATCAAATCAAATCAAATTGTATTTGTCACATGCGCCGAATACAACGTGAAATGCTAACTTACAAGCCCTTAAGTAAAAAAAGTAACTCAATAAAATAACGAGGCTATATAAGTGCGGGGGTACAGGTTAGTCGAGGTAATTGAGTTGAGGTAATTGCGGTAATATGTACATGTAGGAAGGGGTAAAGTAACTATGCATAGATAATAAACAGCGAGTAGCAGCAGTGTAAAAAAAAAAAGGTGGAGGTAAATGCAAATAGCCATTTGATGAATTGTTCAGCAGTTTCATGGCTTGGGGGTAGAAGCTGTTAAGGAGCCTTTTGGACCGAGACTTGGCATTCCGGTACCGCTTGCCGTGCGGTAGCAGAGAGAACAGTCTATGACTTGGGTGGCTGGAGTCTTTGACCCTAAAAATGTTTTGGGGTGGCCTTCCTCTGACACCGCCTAGTATAGAGATCCTGGATGGCAGCAAGCTTGGCCCCAGTGATGTACTGGGCCGTACACACTACCCTCTGTAGTGCCTTACGGTCGGATGCCGAGCTGTTGCCATACCAGGCGGTGATGCAACCAGTAAGAATGTTCTCAATGGTGCAGCTGTATAACTTTTTTTTGGCTCTGGGGACCAATGGCAAATCTTTTAAATCTCCTGAGGGGGAATAGGCGTTGTCGTGCCCTCTTCATGACTGTCTTGGTGTGTTTGGACCATAATAGTTTGTTGGTGATGTGGACACCAAGGAACTTGAAGCTCTCGACCCGCTCCACATCAGCCCTGTCGATGTGAATGGGGGCGTGTCCGGCCCTCCTTTTCCTGTAGGTTGTTGTCCTGGTACCACAATCCCAGGTCTCTGACCTCCTCCCTATAGGCTGTCTCATTGTTGTCTGTGATCAGGCCTACCACCGTATATTTTGTGAAGTGCACCAGTCCCTCCTGCAGCAAAGCATCCCCACAGCATGATGCTGCCACCCCCGTGCTTCACGGTTGGGATGGTGTTCTTCGGCTTGCAAACATTACGGTGGTCATTATGGCCAAACTGTTCTATTTATGTTTCATCCTCTGTAGCTCAGCTGGTAGAGCACGGCGCTTGTAACGCTAAGGTAGTGGGTTCGATCCCCGGGACCACCCATGCACAAAAATGTATGCACGCATGACTGTAGGTCGCTTTGGATAAAAGCGTCTGCTAAATGGCATATTATTATATTATTATTATTATCAGACCAGAGGACATTTCTCCAAAAAGTACAATCTTTGTCCCCATATGTAGATGCAAACCGTAGTCTGGCTTTTTTATGTGGTTTTGGAGCAGTGGCTTCTTCCTTGAAGAGTGGCCTTTCAGGTTATGTCGATATAGGACTCGTTTTACTGTGGATATAGATACTTACAGTGGGGGAAAAAAGTATTTAGTCAGCCACCAATTGTGCAAGTTCTCCCACTTAAAAAGATGAGAGAGGCCTGTCATTTTCATCATAGGTACACGTCAACTATGACAGACAAATTGAGGAAAAAAAATCCAGAAAATCACATTGTAGGATTTTTAATGAATTTATTTGCAAATTATGGTGGAAAATAAGTATTTGGTCACCTACAAACAAGCAAGATTTCTGGCTCTCACAGACCTGTAACTTCTTCTTTAAGAGGCTCCTCTGTCCTCCACTCGTTACCTGTATTAATGGCACCTGTTTGAACTTGTTATCAGTATAAAAGACACCTGTCCACAACCTCAAACAGTCACACTCCAAACTCCACTATGGTCAAGACCAAAGAGCTGTCAAAGGACACCAGAAACAAAATTGTAGACCTGCACCAGGCTGGGAAGACTGAATCTGCAATAGGTAAGCAGCTTGGTTTGAAGAAATCAACTGTGGGAGCAATTATTAGGAAATGGAAGACATACAAGACCACTGATAATCTCCCTCGATCTGGGGCTCCACGCAAGATCTCACCCTGTGGGGTCAAAATGATCACAAGAACGGTGAGCAAAAATCCCAGAACCACACGGGGGGACCTAGTGAATGACCTGCAGAGAGCTGGGACCAAAGTAACAAAGTCTACCATCAGTAACACACTACTCCGCCAGGGACTCAAATCCTGCATTGCCAGACGTGTCCCCCTGCTTAAGCCAGTACATGTCCAGGCCCGTCTGAAGTTTGCTAGAGTGCATTTGGATGATCCAGAAGAGGATTGGGAGAATGTCATATGGTCAGATGAAACCAAAATATAACTTTTTGGTAAAAACTCAACTCATTGTGTTTGGAGGACAAAGAATGCTGAGTTGCATCCAAAGAACACCATACCTACTGTGAAGCATGGGGGTGGAAACTTCATGCTTTGGGGCTGTTTTTCTGCAAAGGGACCAGGACGACTGATCCGTGTAAAGGAAAGAATGAATGGGGCCATGTATCGTGAGATTTTGAGTGAAAACCTCCTTCCATCAGCAAGGGCATTGAAGATGAAATGTGGCTGGGTCTTTTAGCATGACAATGATCCCAAACACACCTCCCGGGCAACGAAGGAGTGGCTTCGTAAGAAGCATTTCAAGGTCCTGGAGTGGCCTAGCCAGTCTCCAGATCTCAACCCCATAGAAAATCTTTGGAGGGAGTTGAAAGTCCGTGTTGCCCAGCGACAGCCCCAAAACATCACTGCTCTAGAGGAGATCTGCATGGAGGAATGGGCCAAAATACCAGCAACAGTGTGTGAAAACCTTGTGAAGACTTACAGAAAATGTTTGACCTGTGTCATTGCCAACAAGGGGTATATAACAAAGTATTGAGAAACTTTTGTTATTGACCAAATACTTATTTTCCACCATAATTTGCAAATAAATTCATAAAAAATCCTACAATGTGAATTTCTGGATTTTTTTTTCTCATTTTGTCTGTCATAGTTGACATGTACCTATGATGAAAATTACAGGCCTCTCATCTTTTTAAGTGGAAGAACTTGCACAATTGGTGGCTGACTAAATATTTTTTTCCCCACTGTATGTACCTGTTTCCTCCAGCATCTTCACAAGGTCCTTTGCTGTTGTTCTGGGAATGATTTGCACTTTTCACACCAAAGTACGTTCATCTCTAGGAGACAGAACGCGTCTCCTTCCTGAGCGGTATGATGGCTGCGTGGTCCCATGGTGTTTATACTTGCCTACTATTGTTTGTACAGATGAACGCGGTACCTTCAGGTGTTTGGAAATTGCTCAGAAGGATGAACCAGACTTGTGGAGGTCTACAATTTTTTTTCTGAGGTCTTGGCTGATTTCTTTTGATTTTCCCATGATGTCAAGCAAAGAGGCACTGAGTGTGAAGGTAGGCCTTGAAATACATCCACAGGTACACCTCCAATTGAGTCAAATGATGTCAATTAGCCTATCAGAATCTTCTAAAGCCATGACATCATTTTCTGTAATTTACCAAGCTGTTTAAAGGCACAGTCAACTTAGTTTATGTAAACTTCTGACCCACTGGAATTGTGATACAGTGAATTATAAGTGAAATAATCTGTCTGTAAACAATTGTTGGAAAAATTACTTGTGTCATGCACAAAGTAGATGTCCTAATTGACTTGCCAAAACTATAGTTTGTTAACAATACATTTGTGGAGTGGTTGAAAAACAAGTTTTAATGACTCCAACCTAAGTGTATGTAAACTTCCGACTTACATTTAAATTTTAGTCATTTAGCAGACGCTAAAGTGAGTGCATACATTTTTCATAGTATTCTCTTTCAAGGCCTAACCCTCTCTCCTCAATGTCAATTGGCAAATGACAGCTTCTAATAGCCTTGCAGGAAACCACCTCACAGGAAATGGATCAACCAATCAACAAGTACATGGCTTCAAGGCAACAAATCACAATGAAGACATTCAGACAATACCATATGAATTTCCATAAATGTACATATTTCAATAACGGTGTGAACCCTTGTCAAAAGGACATTAAATGAAACCATACAAACTATCCTCCCCCCGGGATAATTCCCCAGTGTCGCGCATCTCCAAACAATCTCCTTGTTTAGGTGGTCCGGGGTCCTCCCCGAGATAATTTATATGTAGAAGGACTGAGAAGCTCAGTTCTAGTGACTTTTTAAAAGGACATTCTACTCCAAAATTAATGACAATAAAATGATGCCGACACCATCTAGAAATATAATTTCCACCTCCAGAAATGGGACTTCAACTGCAGTCTATGATTCATACTTTCCTACAACCTTGCCAAAAGAGAAATGCACACAACTTACAGTAGGTGGCGACACCTCTTAAACCCTCACAAATGAAGCCGAAAAGAGCAATGTCATCAACAGGAAGTTAGTAACCATCCTCCTTTGAATGTGGTAGTAGCTATAGAAAAATGGAGACGGTAGGCTTTTGGAACTAAAGAACAGTTTAATTGTTTGTATTTACCACCACCGAACGTTTTGAAATACTGAATATACACTAGTGGCACACTTTTAGTCAAAAGATAGATGGAGCTTCAATTCGCTGGCCTGGATTTTGAATCATGGAGAGCGATTCCATTGGTCCTTGAGAAAAAAAAACACCCATGTTACCGTGCAGAAAGGAAAAGGTCTACTGGGAT